CGCTCCGTCCGAGTTTGCCGGCCGCGCTCCTGTCGAGCGCTCCTGAGCGGCACAGATGCCTCAGACTCCGGCGTGACAGGTTTCTGATGTAGCTCCGTAACCGAGAGACTTCAGCGGCACTGTCTAATACCGGTTATTAACGCCTGCTTTTTTTCTTTTTTTTTCCTGCCTGGGAAGTTTTTGCCAGTCGGAATGTCCTGGGAGTAGAGATGGGAGATAAAGTGTAAAGCAACTTGCAGAATTGGTTTCTGAATTAGGGAGCGTCTAAAAACCAAGTTTGTGCTTCAGCGAGGGCACTGGGAACTTGAAGGTTTCAGAGTTTGTTAGGTTAAAGCCTTGAAACATGAAATTGTGGGAGTAGAATTGTTTGGAAGATGTTAGGACATAGTTTTGAAAATAAATGTTTAACACTGAGAAGAAAAATGGAGCGTGATTATAATCTCTAAATGCTTCAGTTTGTGTATTTCACTTTTGACTGTGGCTGGGCTGATTAGTGTCATTCTAGGAGTATGTTGCAAAAAAATGTTTATATACATTGCTTAACCACCAGAATAGTTTGTATAGTTTCTCTCTTATGTACATGAGCATTATATTTTTGTATACATTATTTTGTATATCTTATATATGCAGAGACTCTAAAGATCCTGTAAGCTATATTTGCATTGTATAATGCATGCAGATAATTGTTTTATCCTGTGACTGATGGACTTAAAATGAGATGCCATATCATATCACTCAGAAAACCAGAAAATTAGATTTGTACCACAGACTAATATTACGGAATTTCTGCTTCAAATGCCATTTGAACAGTGGTATGCCTTTTACAGTGTTGTGTATATTTGTTTTTAATATTGCAGATGCCTTTTGATTGCAAGACTGCTGAAATGCTTTGAGGGCTGCTGCTCCTATCCTAACCATGAACAGTTCAAAATCACCAGGACTGGCTGGATTTGGAGTCTTGAAAAACACAACCTGCCACACAGAGAAAAAGATTTCAGTTTTCTTTTCGATAATCTTCATGACGGTGGGAATCTTGTCCAACAGTCTTGCAATAGCAATTCTTATGAAGGCATACCAGAGATTTAGACAGAAATCAAAAGCCTCCTTTTTGCTTCTTGCCAGTGGTTTGGTTGTGACAGATCTCTTTGGCCACCTCATCACTGGAGCCATCGCGGTGTTTGTGTATGCATCAGATAAAGACTGGATTCGATTTAACCAATCCAACATTCTTTGCAGTGTTTTTGGCATCTGCATGGTTTTCTTTGGTTTGTGCCCACTGTTCCTGGGCAGTGTGATGGCTGTTGAACGGTGCATTGGAGTCACTAAGCCAATATTTCACTCTACAAAAATGACTTCTAGACATGTGAAAATGATGTTGACTCTGGTATGTCTGTTTGCTGTTCTTATAGCTTTGCTGCCTATTCTTAGGTTTAGAGCCTACCAAATTCAAGCATCGAGGACCTGGTGCTTCTATAAAACAGAACATGTTGAGGACTGGGAAGACAGATTTTATCTCTTACTTTTTTCTTGCCTTGGGTTACTGGCCCTTGCTATTTCATTCTTGTGCAATGCTGTCACAGGAATTACCCTCTTAAGAGTCAAATTTAAAAGTCAACAAAGACAAGGCAGATCTCATCATTTTGAAATGATCATTCAGCTCTTGGCTATAATGTGTGTTTCTTGCATTTGCTGGAGTCCATTCCTGGTAAGACCTTGAAGTGTTTGCCAATGTTTAATGCACATCACTGTATAAAAATTATACTTTTTTATCTCCAGGTTTTAAAGTGCTTTAGCTGTGGTAAGAGCTCCATTTGCTCAATGTTATTAATTTTACAGCATATTGCCCATAATGTATGGGCATTATGGGCAATATGCATCTATTAAAAATGGTAATTATTCTCCACTTCTGATCATAACAAAATACACTGAGTAAACTAAATATATGGAGACTCCGAGGACTCTGTTTCCTGTGCTGTGAAGCAAACAGTGGTAGTAGAATTGTGTCGTGAATAAATCATAACAAATATTGAACTTGTTCAAAATTCAGTGAAATATTGAAGTGGGAAGTCTGTTTAGTCTGTACTGTGGTTCATATAATTTGTTTATGGTAGTCTATTTGTTATTATTATCACAGTCGACTGCTACTTGTGAACTGTGTTAAACAGTTAAACAGATAACAGTTAAGAATGTAAAAAATCCTCCACTCCATTACCAGGGCATTAAGGGCTTTGCTTTAGAGTCATGCTGAAAAACAGTGGTTGGCAGTGGGTTAAAATCAACATTTGTTTCAGACCTAAGCAAGCTGGGTTTGTAATGTGGACGGATGAGTAGCAAAGTTGGTGTGCTTGCTCAGCAGTCCCAGCTGTAACTTAGAAGTGCCTCCTGTCACTGCTGTGACTCTCCAAACGTGGCAAGTGCTGCTCGTGTTAGCGCGTGCCCTGCCAATGAGCAGGGCCAAAGGAAGTGATTGTGATATGGGAAAGAATTTGACAACAACAATTTGAATGTATGATTGCATTCTACAGCTTGTATTAGCTGCGATTCTTATTAGGGTAGTAAACCTGTCTGAAGAAAATGAATTCTTTTGCTGGGGTCAGAGAGGTTAAGTCACAAGTTATATGAAGTCTGAATTTCTTTCCTAGAAATAAGGTCCCATAGTTTTCCAGTGATAAAAATGTTTATTAAGCTGATAGTAGCTGTGACTCGTTTGAGTGCAGTAAATCTGTCTGAAGAAAATGAATCTTTTTGCTGAGGTCAGAGAGGTTAAGTCACAAGTTATATAAAATCTTAATTTCTTTCCTAGAAACAAGGTCCCGTAGTTTTCTGGTGATATAAATGAGGAGCAATTTTGGTTTGAGCTAACAAATTGAGAAAGTTAAATCTGAGATCAGAGCCAGCTATATCTCATCTGCTTCTCTGCCTATGGTATAGTATGAAGTTACTTGAAGTAGTTCTAAATTAGATACCGATACTAACCTAGCTGCAGCAGTTGGGTATATGTGGCAAGTAGCATTTAATTAATCCAGTATTGCAGACTTCAAGGAGAAAGTCTGGATATAAATGTCTGCATCACTGAAATGCACTAAAACTTTTTCACTTTTATTCAAATCACAAAGAATTTCTCTAGTCTTGCTCTGCAGCATAGGTTAAATTCATGTTGGCTTCTGTCAGTGTCCTGACTGTAGTGTATAGAGCATAAAATAAAAGTTGTCAGAGCAGTATAGCAAGTTTTGTAGTGAACTTCCTTCCAGTTACTTCAGACACCTCCTGAAGTTTGTCTGGGTCAAGCCACAGAATGGTTTTCAAGAAAAGCAGCATTATTTTCCTTTGGTGACATTTATTTTCAGATAAAATAAGTATTCTTAAAGGTAGGAATTGATTTGTTAAAAAACCCTCAGGTGTCAGAAGAGCTATAAACTTCTTTAATTCAAAAGAGGTACTTAATTTATTCAACAGATGAAGGAACACTAAATTGCAACTACTGTGGTTGTTTTTTCAGTGTTGGTAATTTTGTTTATTAACTATAATGTATAAAAATATACATAAAATTGCAATTAAAAAATCTTAATCTGATGTAATCACTGTACTACTTTTGTTAAAATATTTAACTTCATCTAAATTGTAAATTCAAAAGAGGTACTTAATTTATTCAACAGATGAAGGAACACTAAATTGCAACTACTGTGGTTGTTTTTTCAGTGTTGGTAATTTTGTTTATTAACTATAATGTATAAAAATATACATAAAATTGCAATTAAAAAATCTTAATCTGATGTAATCACTGTACTACTTTTGTTAAAATATTTAACTTCATCTAAATTGTAAGAT